GATATAGCTTATTATGCAACATAAAGTTATAATGGATGGATAGAATTATTTAATATCTAATATACAAAGTAATTTAAATGTATCTTTTTATGTTATTAACCTCAAAAATGACAAAAAACCGAAAAATTTTTTTTTTATTAAAATTTGTTATTACTACTATCTAACTGATATGTTCTTTACACTGTGATATTACAGTGTATTTGGTTTGATACGGTAGAATTGACTGAAGGAGAAGTGAGTTTGTCTTCTTTTGTTTAGTTGATTAGTTCGCTTGTGGTGAACGGCTTGACTAGTAAAGGCAACTTAGGCAAGACCTTACATTTTTCTATTCAATAACCCAATCTGTTTTTATGTGTAAGGTTATTTATTAGGCCGATACAAAAGCGAAACGCTGACGGTACGCGCGTGTGTGAATAGCCTTATTTCTTTTTATGTTATAAATATAAGATTAATATAAAAGATATAGGGCGACATTATTTTACGATTGGCGTAAATGGTCTACCTTCGCCTTCGCCCGTGTAACGGCGGCGGCGTTTGAAAAACAAATCGAATCAATCAATCGTAGGACGATTTACTAACACCATAAACAACAACTTTGTTCCGTGACTTAACAATTCATTTTTATATGACACCAAGAGGACGGACGGACAGTTCGCGCGCCTGTTGGGGTTTGTAGCATCTGAACCCGGTGTCGGTTTAAATCTGCAACCGAATGAGCCCAAGTGCCCAAGTCCAGTCCCGGGTTTAGTTGCTCCTCGAGAGATAACATTAAATTTGTATCGTCTGAACCTGAATTAATTTTCGATAGAGATTATACATACGAGTAATTAAAAAACTCCCGAATTACATTACATATTATCTAGAGACCGTTGGATTTGGAACAAGTTATATGGCGGGTATTGTGCGTGATTTGGAACGATCTACCGCCTCCTATTCGCTAAAATTATTTTATTGGAATAGTGTTCGGAAACAAGCTCAAGACCCCTTAAACCAACAAAATGTATCAACATGCTTAGAATAATAACGCATAGAAACCTAGCCCGCACACGCTAAGTGAGGCAAATTGAAGCGCGCCAAAAGGGCCTACACGAGCGGGCGGGCCTTCAGTGCTCAAGGTCAACTTGCACCGCGAACAGATAAAGAATTTTAGCTAAAAATGACGAAATGTGCGGTAAATGAGTGTAAAAATACGTCAGACAAACATACAATAGATACTAACATCACATTCCACAAGGAAGTAACGCGTTTCGACTAGTATTTTTATATAAATATTCACTAAAACCGAAAATTAACCTACTACTAAAACTAGCCTACATGAATTTGATTTTTGCCTCACTCGTGACAGTTCGTTTGATATGAAACTATCATTCTATGCGTTATTATTCTAAGCCAAAATGTATCGAAAATGAATTTGGGTTGAGACGATACAAACGTAATGTGAACTCTCGAGGTGCAACTGGACCCGGGATTGGATGCGTCTCAAATGAAATTATTTCTGATAATCAACCAGTCGAATAGAATTTTGTAAAGACAGAAACAAGTAAAAATTTGAAGGGTTATATCAACCATTTGGCAAAAAAGAACTATTTTTATTTTTTATTTATTTTATTGTTTTAAGAAAAAAGTATACATAAGTAATGTAAAACACCGTTAAACCCTACTTGGGTTTGTCTCGATGCCATTCATTCCTTGCTACGAACAAACCAATAGAAAATATTTAAAAAAAATCTTATAAGTAGGTAGACATTGTTTTATCTTTATTTGGAGGCATACATTTGTAAAACAGTGAAGACGGCAAAGTATTTTGGTATTCGACTAGACACTGAGCGAACCGTCCGGAAACCGGTTTGTTAACAAGTGTACAGGATACCCCAAAAAATTTAAAAGCAATATAAATACAATAATTTGGTTGTATTCCATTATTTTAATTTCCTCGTAGAAATAGCATTGTATGCAATCATTACATAATTAGAGCTTAAACTCTCATACTTTTTTTTTTTAATTAAATGGACTTGCTCTTAACCACTGCCTAAGTCTGGAGCAAAGATAGGATGTATGATGGAACGAGTTCGCCCAGAAGATGTCTATTCAATTGCACGTTAAAGATACTCCGGTTGTATGTGCTCGGAAACACAGTCGCAGACAGGGAATATCTGGTCTGTGCGCATAGTAAAAGATGGTGAAATTCGAACTTGAAGATGGACTGCGGTGCACCTAACTTTTTCTTTCGATGTAAAATCAAAACATAATGACACGTTCAACCAAGCGATTTGTCGTACATTATTTATATAATATAATCCGTTGGTATATTTCATTCTTATTGTTGTTGACTTTTAAATTGATAACGATAGCTAGTTTTGTTTATGAAAACTGATTTGTTATAGTTCAACTGTTTTTCTTTTATCTACCTTTTTCCTCGCTATAGTGAGATGAGAAGTTGTGTGTTTCACTCGGCAGCAAGGTTGTTTTGCGTCTTGTGCTTTGAAACTCTCGCTACGCTCACGATTCTATTTTTGAATCTTAGGGTCGTATTCTAGAACTCTACTCAATGCTCAAGACAGGATTTGAGTATGGTTTAAAGCACTCGAAATCATACTCAAGTCCCTGCCATTAGGATCGTATTTCCAGTGCTTGTGTTTCAATTGCAATCCTGACTTGAGCATTGAGTAGAGTTCTAGAATACGACTCTTAGTATCCTTCGCTTGTTCAGGTTACAATACAAGCACTCGCGGAAAACAACAACTTTGCAGCCTTGTATAACAAATAACTATTTTAAAATGTTGTATTTTTTGTTTAAAGTTAGCTAGTGATAAAAACCGCACGGACCGTTTGGTCAATCCATTACTTACCTACAATAATTTGGGAGGTCTTGATAACAACGTCAGATCAATTATAACTTTATCTGCCGGGCTAATTTGTATTATGTCATCTGAGTAAGCAGTATAGTGTCTAAACGTAACCTTGTATCAGTTTAACGGCGTTAATCTCTCAGACTAAAGGTCAGGCAGTCCCGATATCCTGTTTATCCATGACATAATCAATCGTTGTTCTTAATTGCGTAAAATAAACAGTATAAATATATAATAGTATAATTAGAAAGTTTGGATGAATAAATATTTGCACATCAATTACGCTGAAATAGCTCATCGGATTTGGATGTAACGTCGAATATTTGATTTAGTTTGTAACCTGGATGTAATCTGGACTTAGGGCTTTTCTTAAATCTGGAGCTAGTGTACAATAAATGCTAGAGTAGCAACGATTACTATTCGGTATTTGGTTTATTCGGCCTATTTTTTGCTACTTTGGCTGAAAACAGACTATTTTGTACATTGTAAGTATGAATTTATTTATTTTGCAGCCTTAAAAAAAATTGTTCTATAATTAAACTTTCAGAGTACCTTATAAATCCTACACCCACAATCATTGATTTCGCGATAACCATAGGAATGCGTAGTGGATTGTGATTCTTGTTATAGTACAAATTTGTATACAGTCCTCTGGTTTACACAACAACATTTGTTGCAGATCCAATACCGAGAAGTGACGTCAAACGCGAGCATCCAGTGGCATACAGAGAGCACTGAAATACCATCACACATATACGCGTATGAAATACTTAACCTGATACCTGATCGGGCGTATAAGTGAGTAAATAAGCTACCGTGTACCTCATTGTGGACGTCACTAAACGACAAAGTAATTTTTTGGAAAATGGCCATTAAAAATTCTGGACGTAAGTTTAAATTTGAAAAAACAAGAGTGTCGTTTAGTGACGGTACTGATTTTAACGTGCGAAATTCGACGACTTTCTAGAATAATCACCTATCTCAAAACATATATTTCATCGGGAAGATGGTATAAAACACGGACATGTGTTTGCCGCGCAAAATTCATATATCGTGTACAGGGTACGAGCACGTGAAGCTTGACACTTAAGATTTAAATCCAATTAAAAGCCGCTTACGATAAGAACGGTCCAAAGTACAAAGTGTCAAGCTTGACGTGATCTTGACTGTACCATGTCAACGTTGTATGATTATTATTATTATTTATGATTATTTTAACCATGGATTAACTCAAGGGGATTGCTAATCTCCACACTACAGATCGTACCTCTACGAAAGGTCATTCGATCTTATGTCTAGATGGCGCTGATCAATAACCTGGAAGTCGTTTATATCATGTAAATTGCCGTGGGGTTACCTATCATTAGTCCAACATTTTCCAGAAACAACGTTTGCTCGAATTTTCATAACCTCGAAAGTAATTTTGAGAGGAAAATGTTTTTTATTTTAAATCTAACTTAACCTTTTTTTGCGTGGGGAAATCCTCCTGGGGAATCCGCTGCGGGGGCAGCGGGAGGTTATGCCGGACTCCTACCGGCTAAAACCCCACGGTGGCCTTCTCGGGTGCTCTAGTCGAAGGATCTGGGATCGACTTTGCGCACCGGAATCCGCCCAGTATCTAGGACGAGCTACATCCTCCCCCTTTTCTCCTCACGACGAAGCTTGCCCACTTGCTATATAATATATTTGAAACTTGCACACCGCCCCGTCGTCCTTCTCGCGGCTGCCTAACTTACTGGCGAACGGAGCTCCCGCTCGACTCCAATCGCCCGCAGCCGCGACGCTCTCCCGATCACGCTCGGCGACCTGTTTCTGAAGCATCACCGCTTCACAGAAGGAGACCACTACCTCATGGGACTCTTGATCCGCCAACATAGCCGCTACTATACCCGGCGGAGAGAGATCTCGCCCGATCTGGGTAACCAGGATGTTCCGCTCGGGGCGAAATCCTGGTCCCTCCCACAGTGGTAGCACGGCGTCGTCGACTCGCGTCCGATCCGATTCAGTGTCAGTCGGAACGTGGTGACGCACTACCGCTGGCTCAACCAGACTTCGAGGTGGGCCGCGCAGATTCCTTCGCCTGGCGGAGGAGGAGGAGGAGGAGGAGGCGCGTCCATCTCCGCCAGAATGTCCAGCGGGGAAAACCGCGTCAGGACAGTCGCCGCGTCAAAGGATACGGTGCGGTATCCTCGTGCGATCCTTATGACCATGCGGCGCTGCACGCCATTGAGCATGGCTCTGCAACGCCGGACGCCCGTCAATCGGCGTGACCAGACGGGTGCCCCATACAGGGCCACGGATCGCACCACCCCACCGTATAAACGGCGAACTCGCACCGAAGGGCCCCTCAGGTTGGGCAGCAACCGGTGCAATGCATCTGCCACCCTATCGATCCGGGGAACCAGGCGCCGGAAGTGCTTCCAGCGCCTTCCAGAAATTCCAGCGACCGTCCAGGATGAGGCCCAAGTATTTTAAGTACTGCCCCACCTGGACGTCGACGTCACCAACGCGAATCGAGAAGCTGGGCGGTTCCCTCCCTCGCGGGAGTTTGTGAAACCACAGCGCCTTAGTTGAAGGCGTTGACGATATCCAGGCTTACCACCAACGCCATTCCGCCCCGGGACAGTACCTGCGTCGACAGTGAGTGAACGCGTAGGATCGCGTCCACTATTGACCGCGCCTGCCGTAAGCCGTACTCGTCTTCCGACAGGTCAGGCCCTACTCGGGACAGGTGCCCGTTGAGCCGCTCGGCAAGTGTTCTTTCAAACAACTTGCCGGCCTCGTCCAGCAGGCACAAGGGTCAGTATGCAGAGGGAGAGTCTGCGGGTCGACCTTCCTTCTTTATGAGGAATGAATTAAACCTAACTTCGTTTCAATCCATTATAAACAAAAAGTAAACAAACAAGTCACTGTCCTAGACGGTTTAGTGATAAGTGATAGCCAATTGTAATGCAAACTAAAAGTCAATCGATTAATTCAATGAATCGGTTTGTTTAATTGAGTCATGCTAGCGGTTTTCTTTACATGGCAGTAAAAATACATAACCTATAAAAGCATATATTATTTAAAATTTCCGAAATCTTATGTTAAATCCTCCTTCAAATCTTTACACTTAGATACTCGTTCGATTGCGATTGAAATTTTCGATTTACCAATCGATTACAAAAACTTTAATTTAATGAACGGAATGTTTTTTTCGTACAGCACTATGCAACCATAGACAAGTCATAGAAGTATAGATGAAAAATAACCTCACCTATGAACTAATATTTTTCAAATACGATTTTACGATGCTATTCAAATGAATATTCTTGGAAAAAGTGATGAGATATCAAGTCGAAATCTTCGAAATATACGTGAAAGTGTTACTTATTCGATTTATGGAGTGATTGCTTCAGAATTATGACCAAACAGGTTTGTTTATTTTTTGTTGAAAATGGATTGGAACAGATTATAACATAACGCTCATAACGCTCACAACATAACGCTTTGATGTTATCGTATAACTTCCGCCAAAAGATTAGGGAACCCACCAGAATTACATCTAGCACCTCAACTTGTGTCGACTTACTATTCATAAACTTCACAATTATAGATAATAAAATAACTGTTCAAGACTGTGGTTTTTCCGACCACTGTAGCTTAATGATTTCCGTGCCTTCAAATATACAAAACTTAAATCATTTTCTTTTATACAAAAGAGTATACAATGATTCCAATATGGGTAAATAACGCTCACAATCAACATAGCCCCGCACTAGGGAAACCCTGTGTCGCGGGTGCCATGGACACACACATAGACAACCACAAATTACACCCAAACTCATGAGAGAAATAAATGTAGGCCATACAAATATTTCTCCCGGCCCGGGAATCGAACCTGGGACCTCTGCGTGGCAGTCCGGCATGGTAACCGTTCGGCCACGGAGGCAGATTATAACATAGCTATTTGGTACTCGTCACGACGTCTTCACGACTATACTACGCTGTCTTGTATCGCGATAGGCAGTCCTCCCGAGTTATTGCTCCATGTTTTAACCAATGAATATCTCGATGTGATATGTGCTAGACAATCACACCATGAGTACCAGACCAACGGATTTCACTCTGGGGCACATTTGGGCACAACTCACAACACTCAGATCAGAACTAATTTAGAAAAATTCAGTTTCCTAAATTATTGGTCCTACCGGGTATCGAATCCGGGACCTCCTCATCCAGGGCCCATAGTGTAAACCGTTGGGCCACCGAGGCCTTTTAATATGTAGAGCTCCTTGTGAAAAAGTTCGTCCAAAGAAGTACTGCCTACCTTATTTCTGCCGCCAAGCTATAATATGAGCATTACTGCGTTCCGGTTTTGAAGGGTAACGGGGATCATGAAATTACAGGCACATGGGACTTAGAGGAAATACTGGGTCCCAAACTGGTGGTACGGAGAAACCATCTTCCCTGTTGAAATTAGGATGTTTTTTAATTTCAATGGCCTCTCGCAGCATCCTGGGCAGATAACGGACTTCTTTTGCAAGGACCTGGGGTTTGTCAAACTTCATTGAATGTGTAGGTTTATCCATGACATGCTCGCAGACTGCAGACTTGTTTACGCGACGGTGTTTGACATCAGCTATATGTTCTTTGACGCGGGTACAAATACTTCGCTTTGTTTGTCCAATATAAGAGAGACTGCACTCTAATGAAAAATCCCAAACAGACATAAGACTGCAGTACTAATTAATATGTTTTAGTTTATTCTAATTTCTATTAATAATTAATAATAAATTGAACTTAATAAAAATTCATTCAATAAAATAATTTGTAAAACTTAATGAAGCGTAAATTGGAATGTTTTCTTTGTAAAATTAATTAATAACTATTGTAACTATAGTGAAAAAATAGGGTGGTTTGCATTAATATTAGACATAACTGGTTGAAGACTGTACCATCTCAGTCAACCGTGACCATGGGATCTGTAAAGGGCCCGAAACGTCGGTTTGTTTGAAAAACAAACAAACAAACAAATATACGCGATTTAAATCCGGAAAAATAGTTTCATTTCCTATGTGTAACAATCGCGAAAACCTAAGAACTCGACACATGGGACTTGTCAACTTATGTCCCAGGGTGACGGGCGCAATGGCAGTGCCCCTCAGATCTTTGATCAATTTAAAGCTCTGAATATGCTATACTATAGACAGTCCCTATCGTCACTCGGAATTATAAAAAAAAGTTTCCCACTTGTTCTTTTGGGGGTCTTGCCGTATAAACGCGCAGTAATGTAGGAAATTTGACGATTTTAAATGTAATTTACCGAATAAACATATTTTTAATTTGGGTTTAACAACAGTACGTGGAGCTTTAACACTTAAGACTTTGAACCGGCTTAAGCTAAGTGGGAGAGTTGAATCTTAAATGTAAAGTTGGACATGTTGTTATCCGTACTTATTCGCTTGCACCATGTGTTTCCTCTCAAACGGTCAACATACCTAATTACGCTAATAATTTCTTAGAAGATCCTGTGAATCACATCAGTGATGTCCGGTTTTCATGGTGTCGCCATCTGAATGAAACTAAATTTTCTATATTATCTCGGGTCTGGGTGTTTGTGGTACCGTCTTTGTTTCCGATTTCCATAACACAAGTACTTTAGTTACTTGCTTTTGGGATCGGAACAATGTATGTGATGTTATCTAATACTTATATTTATTTTCATCACATTAGCTCGTAAATAGTATAATTATATGGTGGCTAACTTGACTCTAACGCCCCAAGTGAAACTCGGAGTAAAAAGGAGTTTTTTTTTTATTTGTTGCACGATATATCTCCTTAAATAGGTCAGGTTTAAGTTCAAGCAAGGACTTTACTTATGTTCAACATTAAAACGTGTTAAAAAATGTTATCTAAACACATTGACTTACAAATAAATGGACGACGGGTCTAATACAAAAACCACGAAAAAAATGTCCCAAGTCAACCTATTCGAAATTTAAATTGTAATGTCATCGCAGTATCGCGCTGTCAGTAGAACAAATGAAGACTAAAGCGGAGTGTCGCGCTCTGTATACGATTTTAGCGCCTTACAAGTGCGGACACTTTTTAGCGCGGACCCGACGTCCATATAATTGTAAGTCAATGTCTAAACAGAAATTTTATTGCAGTTCAGCCATAACTACTTACATGCTTATTATTAAGAATTTCTTATTATTGATTTTACTTAATTTCTGTACAAAAACGTAGCATTTTTTTTACAATCCATCATGGTTCTATGCGTCTTTGCTTTTTACAACATTTTAGTTCCAGTTGTATTATCTATGTAAGAATAGCTAGCTAGCCAGGTGATTCGCTCTGGACCTTTTGAAGGGAAAAGTGTCGTTTTTATATTGACTTTCAATTATTTTGTGAAATTTAGTTTAAAGTGGAATAGGATAGTGCTATTGTGCCTTAATCGAAGATTAAAACGCGAAATTATACGAATCTCGAACTAGAATATCCGTATCGGCCCGTTTTAAGGAATCCCGAGTCAATCCAAGCACGCTGCCTCAAATTGCCTATCCTCTTTGTGGCGGCCATATTTACAGAAACATAATTAAACTTCATGTTTAGGCTGATGGCTTTGCCAAAGCCTTAATAAAAAAAAAAAAATACTAGCTAGCCATTTGTTGATAAAAAAAAAACAAAACCCCGCCATAATGCAAAATCCGTAGTTGTTGTATTGTGAACCATATTTATTCATACAAGAATTAAATATTGTATTTATTTCCTCGCAAATGTGATGAAAATCATTGTATGTGTCACAGACGGTAAAAAATACAAAACTAGAGCTATTAAAGCAAGAGTAATTTCTTATTTACCGTGCGTACCGTCGTTACAATGTATATGTATATGTTATTTATTTGATTGTTAATTCCTTTACGAGCGTAGTGTTTAATAGATCCTTAATACGTTTCAGATTTAGGGTAGCGGCAGTTTACTCGAATCAGGATAATAAGTCTGGAAAGAGCAGCAACAAATTCTACCTGCACAGAGGAACTCCTGTCAAACCCCCTCGAGCTCCTGTCCTTACGAAGGCTGTCGCTTTGTCCACTGAGAGCATTAGACTTAATTGGACCGTAAGTGAAATCCATTAATCAATTGACCTATCGTCCCCTTTATCACGAAAGTAAGTTAATTACATAGTTTGATTCAGAAGTTCACGTTCCACGTTCTTATGTAAGTAATTTAGTATTTTTTTTAAATTGTAAGTTACGCGTTCTTAAGCGATGTCGATTTCGGTACAAATGTTACGGGCAATTTAATTTACCGGGCATTATTAATACGGACCGGTCATTATGAATAATTAGCAAAGGTATCGGCCAAATTGAAGAATCTGTTATCTTCGCAGGCGTATTAATTTTGCCCGACTGCCCGTTGTCCATTTGAGGGCGAGAATTTATCACTTGGACCGGGCTGTATGAATAATTCCCTACTTCTCACGGGCAGTAAACTAACCTAAACTAAAACACTACAAATCATTTGTTTTTTACCAAGACAGACAGATTGTTCACACTAACAGTAAAAGTGGTTATTGCTTTTATTACATTTTTTATTCGTTGCCGGTATTATTAATATAGACCGGCCATTATTCATAGTGACCGTGTTTATCGGCACAAGTTTGTATTTATTTATTTGTATTTAGAAATAATTTAAGCAAACGTCTTTACTGATCATTTGGATAGGTCGGCACCATAAACTTCCGCCCCACATGCACTCTATTTCCTATTCTATTTTAATGACCTTAGCTCTATAGCCGGATTTTTTATTACAGGTAATAATTGCAACGCGATGCAAGCGCGCGTTTGTATCGATGCAGTCGCGCGTTTGCATCAATGCAATGGCTAATGCTATAAGTCGCCGTGTGTAACTACTCGATTGTTTATAGTTTTGTTTTTAGACCATACTTTGTGCTGTCGAACATAATTTTAAAATTATAATGTTTTTATATCCAAGAATACGAGTGCAAATAAAGGAAAATGTTTCTTTAGCAATTGTAACGGTTTATATTTATGAACATTACTAATTCAGCGATAGCACTTTGGTTTTCCACAAGACAAGTCCCTGTAAGGTTTATTTAATGAAATTTAGCGACATATGGGATCTTGTGAGAGGCACGGACTCGTTTGTATCTTGAGATTTTGTTTGGATTTCGTTCTTATTTGTATTCTATACATCGTACTCTACATAATGCAGTAGAGTTCTTGTGAAAGAGTTCATCCATGGAAGTACTGTTACTTAGTCTATTCCTGCCGCCAAGCAGTTCCGGTTTTGAAGGGTGAGGGTGTTGGTGAAATTACAGGCACATGGGACTTGTCAACTTATGTCTCAGGGTGACGGACGCATTGGCAGTGCCCCTGAGATCTTTGCGATTTAAAGCTCTGGGTGGCACTGCAACTGTTATGGATAGGCGTGTCGCATACCAGGCGCACGACTTATTCGTTCCGTCACTTGGTATTATTACTAAAAAAACCGACGTCAAAACTTTGCTTATCTGCTTTCACTGTATTCCTTACTGCGGTCTTCTCAATGACAGTTTAAACATATGGAAGACGTTGTCCAAACGAACCATATAAGCCCAAACACAACGTAGCTGCTGTACACTGTTGGGAATTCCTCTCATTTGTCTGCTATTTCCATCATCAGGCCAGCTCTAGGTCACCATAACATTTCATTATTTCATTTTAATTACTTAAATTTATGCTAAGTTTTATTGAAATCGGTTAACAGAAAGTGAGTTAAATTCAGGAAACCGGATTCATCCCCTGATTTGCCAACCTTATGGGTTGTTTTTTTAAATTTTAAATGGGACCAGTATTGAGATATTCTCTTTCTAACGAAAAGACAGTCATCGAAATCAGTTCACAAAATGTCGGAATAGACGCGTAACATATACACAAAAAAATACTGTCGGATTATGAACCTCCTCCTTTTTTTCGTCGATTCACAGGAAATGTATCGTTTTCCATATTAAATGTTCTCTTCTTGTTACATTTGCCAATCGGCCGGCCAAACCTGTGATCCGTAAAATTCATTTTGGTATGACTTCCTAATTGTATTATTAGTGTATGACGTTTTAAGAAACTTTTTAAGCCAATTTAACTTTTAATTACATTACATCATTGAGTATATAAACAGAAACAGAGACGAAATAAGGCCATCCATCCCTGGCAACACATCAGGCAAATGGATCTTAAATCACTTTTAGATATCAACTATCGTTTGCGCTGAAATTACAAATTAGAAAGCTGTAATAAATAGTACAGCGCCAACAACTGACCTGTGTGTACGTCTCCGTATATTCCAAAAATATTCTGTATTTATTATAATAAAGATAATGTCTCTAACAATGGGGGGCTGTTCCATTCGGTGGTGTGGGAAAAACAGCACAACATCTAATAACAAAACAAACGGAATCACACTTCATCGGTAATTAAATATTATAGCAAAGCTCAAGTTAAACTGGACGATTTGAAGTGAAACAATTGACGACTCCCGTCAATTGTTTCGAAATCGGGCTGGCCAATCGGAGCGCAGTTGTCACCGCAATGATTTGGCAGAATAGTTTCAAACAAATTTAATGACATTTCGTCTCTATTTCTTGGGGTCTACTATGAGCTCTTAGAGCAATCCTATTTAAGCCTGTAAGTTGGATTGCCTGTCAAATTTGTACTATGACATCACAAAAACAATTCACTGTCCAAGCAGTTTACGTTCCCCATTAGAAATCCGTTCACCTTTTCTTTCATAGCAACATCGTATCATGACGTGCCATTTGCCATACAAATGGTGGTCTCATCTTTAAAAATTAGCAATTGAAAAATGTTACTCCGTGACTGACTTTTTTAAATTTTGTTACATTTTTAAGAGATTTCGTTTAAGTGTTATTATATATTTCATAATAATTTGTTATTGTCTTTATTGCTATATAGCCAATTGTCAATACATAAATACTATTAGCTATTGAGCGTTTTTTGAAAATTTTGTTCGAGTTCTCAATCTTTAAAGTATTGTTGATAAATCATTGGCATGAATGTTATTGCAATTTTTAAATGGAATTTTAATAATTTAATTGACCGAAAATCGTAAAAGAACTTTTAATAGTGCCTTTGATTTTAACCTCGTAAGTCCCAGCAAATTACAATGGGAAAAGCGGTAAGCGCCCAACGTGAATTAAAATGTACTAAATAAATTACATACTTCAGGCCAAGCAAGTATGCTCTCAGTTTTATATGACAAAACCCTATGTTCATATATCATCTATTATACGTAGCACTAAATTTGAATATCATATTTTGATTATAATGTACATATAGTGCGTTTACGTGATAATATTGCCCGAGTCTGAATCATTTCACAAATTATGTACATTTTAATGTAAACGAGGCCTTAGGAGGTTATTGCCATCAATGAAAATGTACGAATACAAGGTACGTTCCAATTATGTTATCAAATTGAAAACTCACCTTATTAATTTTAATGACAATTGCTAGACATGACATGTAATTTTGTCGTACGACAAATTGTAAAGTATGATTGAAAAGTGGTCGATATTACAAAAGAACGGAATAAGTATAATCAATAATAAAATTAATAAAAAAATATAATTATTCTCATTTTGAACACAATCGGTTAATAGTGATTGAACGCTCCCAGGATAGTATATCTATTTCTTTCATATGATTTAGTATGTAGTTCCATCTCGCTCTTGTTAGACGTCAGCTAGCCAGCCAGAGACAATAATTAATGTTTAATAATCTCAGTACAGAGTACTAAAAAAACCGACCTCAAAAGTACGTGGAATTACGTCTATTTGCTAAGTTTTATTGAAATATCCCCTAGTTCGCCACTATACAGGACTTGACACGGAGATAATAAAAATAGGTTCTCACTACGACAGTACTGAAAGTATATTCAGAGAAAAACGCCTTGAATTGGAGAAATAGCAAAATCAACCATTAAAGTAATTGCTCCTAAATTAATGTTAGGCGCTATTTATGAAAATGAATCTTCATGCGTGAACAGCCACCCTTCGAGGTGGATGATTTTCTTAAAAATGAAATGGGACCAATATGGAAGTACCCCCTTTCCAACAAAAAAAGAATCATGAAAATTGGTTCACAAATACTGGAGTTATCGCGTAACATACATACAAAAAACAAACATACAGACGAATTGAGAACCTCCTCCTTTTTGAAGTCGGTTAAAAAGTAAAACTCATCATCCTGTCCATGCCATTCCCGTTCAACGTTGTGTAGGATAGGATACGAATTTAAGCAATTCAGTTTTAACACGTCAAGTGACTTGCATAGAACTTGCTTGGCGGCTTATAAGCTCATAGTAGGCCCCCAGGTTGTATATTCGATGCATATAAATACACTTTTCTGTTGAATGCGTCAGAAGGCTCTCAGAATCGAATGGTCGGCTACCCCTAGCCGAGCGTTTGATCATCTTAGGACATCGATTGTACTTAATTGATGTTTGGAAAATTTGTCTACTCTCCAAACATGACTGTCGTTGATGTGCACTCAAGTGATATTTGTTTATAAAGACAGTCGACTTAAGTACGGTCTTAATATCTACCCTGCGCTTTAAACGGATTTATTAACACGTATCTAAGAGATCAACTGAACGCACAGTGGCAGCAAAAGTCATTTGCCTAATACACGATGCACGTTTGTGTAACGACAGGCAATATCCGATCCTGTCTGTTTTAGAGCACAGAGGATCATGTAACAATGCGCAATTGGGAAATGAGATAGTCATATCTTGGGCTTGCGACGTGTTTGTAAACTCTATGTCTACCTCGCACGTATTGTATGACACGTGTATTGTGAACCATGGTATTCCGTTTGCACTGTGTTTGGGCGTTTGTCCAAGGCATCGGTACTACATCGAATTATTGATGGCCGGATGTCGAAATGCAAAGTTTATATACCCGCTTGTTCACAAGTTACCCGACATTCGATGTGTGTGGACAACGCCGACGGAATGCTAAATAATCGGTTGAATGTTGGATAGTGAAGAAACCATGCCAGGACTTTTATACGCGCAATCAATCGATTTTCACCGAAGTCTATCATAGGATTTGGATTTCAATTATCATCGTTTAATCAATTGAAAATGATTATTAGTTCCGCGTTGCTTATACAGTATGTCGTTGGTCTACGAGACCTTATTGTGCCTGGATAATTAAAGTGAACTTTTTATTTTAATATCACACGAGGCAATATTCGGCTGTCGCCTGTGTTCTATCAGTCGCCCTTTGCATTTAAACTTTTTTTCATCCTTAAGATTTAGACCGGACGCGCTTAATTAGGGATGGGTGTCAATTAATCGGAATAATCGATATTTTTGGAAAGAAAAAAGACACAGAAATATGGTTTACATAGGCTAATCATAAAGTTTGTCCTCACCGCCTTTGAAAAATGTATAATTAATACTGGTGTTTTTACTACTATATTGTAGATTTTGTGTAATTTGAAATAAGGTGGGAAATTAGGGTTATATTACGAGGTTCCTATGCATGCCGCCTGAGCGCGCCACCTATGTTTACGAAGTAATTTTAGAAACCCTGGTAGTATTAGCTTAGACTTAATGGAGTATTGTCTAGCTCTCTCTATACCTATGTCGATTAATCGATTAAATGATTTTTTAAGCCATGATTAATCGGTACATCGATTGTTGCATCAAAAAAGAAATCGATGTCAATAATCGATGTTTTGTTGGTCGATATTCATCCCTACTTATAAGAAGATGGAGTAAAATGACATTTGCAAAGCTGCCAGTTTTTGTAAAATTTGAAATAGTCGAGAAATCGTTAAAGTAGGTTTAATTTTTCCAAGAAATATCTAAATTGTGAATGTTAGGATGTTCTAATGCTAATTGAGTTACTGTATTCTTTATTCTTATTTTGATAGTTGGTCTGGTATTGAAAACAATTTTTAGTCATACATATTTTAATAACGATGTACGGATTTTGTTTTGCATATTAAATTTAAATGATAATTTAAAATGTATCTCGTATTTGTATTTTTTATACACATACTGTTAAATTTGGTGTATGAATTTTCAAAAATTATCAGTTCAAATGAAACAAGTTCGGCTATTTTTTTTAATAATAATAATAATAACGCTCACACTCAACATAGCCCCGCACTAGGGAAACCCTGTGTCGCGGGTGCCATGGACACACACATAGACAACCACAAATTACACCCAAACTCACGAGAGAAATAAATGTAGGCCATACAAGTATTTCTCCCGGCCCGGGAATCGAACCTAGGACCTCTGCGTGGCAGTCCGGCATGGTAACCGTTCGACCATGGAGGCAGTTAAAAAAGTACGCGAATCGGATTCATCCCCTAGTTTGCCACCTTTAGAGGTGGAATATTTTTTTCAAATTTAAATGAGACCAATACTGAGGTACCCTCTTTCCAATAAAAAATAATCATCAAAACCGGTTCGGAGGAAACGCGTAACATATACAAAAAAAACGCAATCGAATTGAGAACCTATACCAAGCACAAGTCCGGTCGTGCAAGGAGTACTGCTGCCACCTTTGGGATGGCTCTGCTGCATATCAACTGGCCATTTTGGATTCAATTGACAACCGTGTCAAGAGGCTTATGGGTGACTCGGAATCAGTGGAGGCGAAGCTGTAGAGCCTTGAACACCGCTATAAAGTAGCCTACTTATCGGTGTTTTACAGGATATATCACGGAGAGTGTGCGACGGAATTACACGTTTTAATTCCGCCTTCCCCTTTCCATCACCGGGGGACTAGGCTTAGGCTTGGGTTCCACCCCTAAGTTGTGGATATTCCAAGTAGTGTGTGTGAGTGGAATTCCCTGCCTGCAGACTTGTTCCCTGAACGTTATAACTTGGGTCTTTTTAAGGCGAGAGTGAATAGGCATTATTTAGTGTGCATGCTCCATCGTCGACCTCATCGTCATTTTCCGTCAGGTGAGATGGAGGTTTAATGGGTACTTATATTTTATAAGAAAAAACCTCCTTCTTTGAAGTCGGTTCAAAATAAACTGCAAACTAATAACAACTTACTTTTTCCGCAGTGGTCACATAACGGCAACGCCAACGGATCGCAAGCTCTAGGTTTCTACATTTACTATCGCGCTCTTACAACAGCTGGGTCTTACGACAAAGTGGTTGCTCCAATAAGCGTTCGGAGTGTCGTATTGTTACATCTTACACCTGATACTGCTTACGAAATGAAGCTTCGGGCTTACTCTGAGCAGGCTCCTTCGACCTTCAGCAGTATATTGGTAAGGGTCAACATATTATACAATAATAATATTTATTTATTTTATTTATTCATTTTCATCAGGCAACTAAATACAGGGTGATAAAAACCATTGACCATTTTAAAGGAGCACACTGTGCAATGGAAATTAAAAATACATGTTCGTTTTTTTTCAAATACTTAAGAAATAAATAAGTTACGACGTCTCAAAGTTTTCCGGAAAATTGTGCACAATATTGACACCCGATGATTAGCAGACGCCGTTGCTATGGCGACAAGAATGGTGTGAGGGGCAGTGGGCGGAGTCAGCGCGCGAGTTTATGTATTTGACAGACAACAAAGTATTAAACCAACGCGCGATGCGTTAGCGCAGATCTGTCGTCGCGCGGCGCGACGTGCTGGTGTCTAGGTGTCTAGACAACTCAGTGCCGATCGCTCAATTTTATTTATTATTTTAAGGTTACCGCGCGTTAGGAATTATTGTGAAATATTAACATGAAAAAAAAACGGGGATTTTTTTTTGTTTTATTTCACTAATGATTTTATTACTGAATCTTAAGCACCGGAAAAAATGGACAGTGGTTTTTTATCACCCTGTATAATATACAGGGTCTAATCGTTAAGTGTGCTCTGGCGATTATTCCATAAATATAAGAGATATCAAAAAGCCGTAAACTGATATCGAAAGTACGTTACCTAATGAATAAATCGACATCAATAACTTTAAAAAAATAAAACTAGAAATATCCAAAAGTTTTACATTTAACGCTCCCATACATTTAATATGACATTCGTAGAGAGGCTTTAGTTTTCCTACTGTAAGAGGTAACAATAAGTTAATTAATGATAAAACTGATATAAATAAAGTAATAAAACTATCTTTTAATCGAATAAAAATATAATGGCATAGTCAAATATTTGTCCAGTGTGACTTGTCCATAAAAATTAATAAAATTGATAAAATTTCTTTTTATTGCTGATCGACTCAGTTTCATGTAAGGATCATTTAACGTATGGGACGAAAAAATGGGACAATAGAAGTTGGTCAAATTATAAATGCGGTGTTGTTTTGTATTCTTCTAGTATTTTGTATATACATATATGTAGTTTCATTTCCAATGCGTTGTAATTGCGTAAATCTGAGAACTTTATATTTTCAATTTACTGTTTTGGTTGGGAAACAATTTTCCTTGTTAAAATAAAATTTTCTTTGCGAAGTAATTTGTGTCACGAGCAAATTTTGTTCTATTATCAGGGAAAAGCCTTGCGTAATATTTTTGATTGTAAAAATTGATTTCAAACCATACAGAGCACAATCAAGAGCCGTTAAGTGTCGAGCTTGTTTGTACCAACCTTTAACACATTTACAGGTAGCCAAAACGCTTAAGCAATCAAACATGTCTAGTACGACAACTGAATCTCCATCGGAAGACATAAAGAGCGATGGCAGAGCTCCTGGAGCGCTGGTTACTGCTGGAGGGGCCTTAGGCGCCGCAGCGCTGCTCGTCATATTGGTAGTTACGCTTCTGCTGTGCAGGAGGGCCAAACGACCACCTGCCAACAGTAAGTATTAAAAGGATACAACTATGCACGAAACAATAAATATAGTAGAAGTGGTTAGTTAGCATCTGACGCGTAATAGTACGTCTCGTTAGACCTACTAGAGCTCAGTCCGCTTTCGTTTTGTGTGGTATGGTTGTGTCATTCTTTCGCGCAAGTTAGCAGATTGGGACGAAATGCGCCAATTCTTTGCGTCATATCCCTAGCAGGCGTGCTTTTCTTCAGGAGACTCGTCGAGCTGTGCTGATGCTGTAGTCGAGGTCGTGCGTTTGGGTATGGAGTATTACATGCCATACTCTGATGTACCCAATGGACCCCAAGCTCGTCCATGGTTTAACGCTGATCGTAGTTGTGCTGAAGCACATAAACAGTCCGCGTACCAAGCTCGGGCAGATGCTCGACTACGCAAAGCTCCGAGTACTCGGAATTTGAAGAAAGCTTTTAATAAGGCCGCCAAGACGTGCAAAAGAGCTTGCCTCTTATCCAGCAGGCAGCAAATCCTTTTGGTCCCTGGCCAAAGCGGTCGAATCTAACTTTTGTCGCCCATCTTTGCCACCTCTGCTGAGGCCGGATGGTTCGCTGGCTCATATTGCGGAAGAAGGCGAAGAGAGTGAATAGGCATTATTTAGGTGTGCATTCTCCATCGTCGACCTCATCGTCACTTTCTATCAGGTGAGATGGAGGTCAAATGCGCACTTATATTTTATAACAAAAAAATAATTATTTAAAACCATGAAAGATAAAAGCTTTATTGTGCTGTTTTGGAGTGCAAAAATGATAGTCTGTAAGTCAATGGTCGCACCAAAAATATTACTCGTAGTAGTATTTCATATCATCGGTAAGTATTATTTTAATCAATTTTCAATTTTCTGTTTGTGGAACTGATTCAGATGTTAAACGTTCGTCGTAGGTCAGCTTCTGGCCACAAGATGGCAGCACGTTGAATAAAATTTCAATGTAAAATCAAAACGTCGTAAGTTGCAATAGAGGT